ACAGTTTTTGATGAGTATTGGTAGTGAGAAAACTGCCGAGCTGAAGTCAGTATGTGAAGATATGCACAATCTTTTATGGTGTAATTAGTAAGGAGATGGGCATATTGAAGGAGAAGCTGGAAATGAAGGAAACTGAAAACATACTCCTCAAGGAATCCGTTCAAAGACTAGAAGAGGAGCTCCATGAAGTCAGGGAATCTAACTGTCATTTGAAATTGGAACTCTCCACTGGAAAAAAATTATTTGATAAGCAGGAAGCAGGGTTATTGGAAGCCAAACAGAAGCTTATAACATCTGAGAATTTGAACTCAGAATTGTGTACGACTATCGATGCACTAAATACTGACCGTCACGAATCCATGCAGACAAATGAAATTCTAGAAAAGAAGATAGTTGAAAAATCAAATACAAATACTACTCAAAGCCAAGAAGTTGAAGTCCTTCGGGAAGTGAATATGAATTTGGTAGCTGAACTGGGTAAGTTGCATGAAGAACTGGTTTAATCATTAATGAATTTTCTTCAGTTTTACATCTTTTTCCTGCGTGTGCGGATTGATCTCCGCAACGGTTGTGGTCATATCATGGTACTATCTAACGAATACTATCAGTACGCTAATCTCGTTTTCCAGTCACAAAGCACAGAAATTTGAGTCGCACAATAAAATGTGTAATGTCTTCCTTATGTTAATAGCATATATTAGTTAATCCTTAATACAAAGCATTTTCTCCTCGATGTTCATCAGATTTTGGGAATTGTCGAGGAATGGTAGATGAACTTTCTGTCTCAAAGCCTAATATGTACTAGCCAGGTGAGTCAATTGTGTTCTTGTACATCTTAATTATCTCAGTAGACATAATAAGCTCAGTGTTTTAAATGGCCAAGCAAGTAAATAAGCTTGGGGCAGTATTTCAGCTTTCCACATTTGTTGAGTGAATCTAGATTATAAGGAGAGAGTAAACTTTAAACTGAAAACTTACCCATTGGTAAAAGTGAACTTATTAGGAAAACCAACAATGCGTAAAGGAGATCTAGCCACAATAACAGTAGTAGCCATATCAATCAACCACATAAATATTTCAGCAAGATAACAACCAAGATTTCCAGCCACAGTAACAGTAGTAGCCATATCAATAAACATACCATGCTCAACAACACCAGCAAGTCTCAAAATAGCATCACTTGCAGCTTTCAAATCTCCCATATCTTTCTTGAAATACAAATCAATAATATAATTACCATTATCAGTAACATAAGCTTCACCATTTTCTCCAACAGTCCTCAATTTACCAACACAACCAGCTTTAATAAACAACATTTCAAGCCTTTTAAGTGTAAATTCCCAACAAAAGGGAACAATTTCAACAGGCATAGCAAGTCCATTACCACCTAAATAATTCACCAAATTTGTTTCTTGTTTCACTTTACTCTAAAAATATAAAATATGATTGCCCTATTTTTTTAATTTAAATGCAAATATACCATTGTTTGTAAGTTATAAATTTTAGTTGGTACAAGTAGTTAAACTTACCTGGACTTTTTCGGAGTTCCAATATTTGAGGAGATCCTTAAATTGAGATGTTGGAATATATTCAGGCCTATTTTGCATTCGAATTTCATCATTACCGTAGGCTTCAAAGTGCTTTTTTTTTCAAATTACTCTTGTGTCTTCTCCAAGCAGCTTGAATTCCATCCAAAACCCATCTTTTCGCAGTGTCAGGGATATCATACTTCTCCTATAAATTGTTTTATGGGTTAGTAAAAAAGTATTGAATATATTCAAACAAAAATTGAATTAGAAACTTCAAACCTTGGTATATGCCCACAAATCGTCTTTTGTGTCCATTTTCCTCCAATCATATATATCAAGAGGGCAAAGATTCGCATTCCTTGCCAATGTGCCAAGGAAACTGCCCAATTCTGTCACAACATCTTTACTAGGACCAACAGGTTGATTTTGCTCATTTACTACAATCAATTTTCGGTCATGCCTTCCATGTACACTTAACATCTTTGTTTTACCCCTTTTCCTTTTTTGAGCAGAAGACCCTAAAATAATACAACCATAGATAATCATAAAATTACATATAATTTAATTTTATAATTGAAAAAGAATGCTAGTATTTGTACGAAAATTCTTGCCTTGTTGTTCACATTGTTCTTGTTCATCAAGAGTTGAATTCAATTGCATTTGCTCCTCTAATATTTCTACTGTGGGGCTGGTTGTTTTAGTTAGTATTTGATGGTCTTCAACTAAATTTTGAAGATGCTCACCCTCTTCACTTGACCGTATACAGCTAGCTGGAACATTTGGTGTATCCTTGAATAAATCCATAAGCAACCAAGTGATCCTCTACTACATTTCTAATACGCCAATAACAATTAGCACATTTTTTGCAAGGACACAATATTTCATTGCCTTGGAAAGCCCGTTCAAATGCCTTATCAAAGAAAATCATTCACTCCGCTAATATACTCATCTGTGGATCTTCGGAGACCATCCAACTTTTATCTCCATTATCCATTGAATATTAAATCCCTATGGGTCACAAATGCAAATCATAAAAATTAAGATCTAAATAACAAATTTCAGAAATTACTGGAGATACATAATTATCTCACTTAATCTAAAGCTTTCTCTACTGCACAAAAAGAAAGAGATGCAAACTATGACAATGATATTAATGGCGAGACCAACTAATGTGCTAAAGTAGCATATATGTGATAATACTGAAAAGTTATATGCATTATCTCATGTATTTTGAAACAATCATGGTACTTAGGAGTGTTCAAAACCGAACCGAAACCGAAATCCGAACTGCAAAAGTGGCTTAATGACTTATTGGTATCGGGTTAACGGTTTAATGGATGGGGAACGGATTGAATTTTTTTTTTAACGGCTTATCGGTTTGGGGGCGGATTATTCAATTTTCTTAATGGATAATCCGTTAACCCGTTAAGAATAATATATATATATATATATATTAAATAATAAAAATTCCTTCCACACTTCCACTTCCAGTACTAGACCTCTATTGGACATTTAGACTTTATACTTGTGATGTCTGTATGATTTGCTTTATGACTACTTTGGACAGTGCTTAGTTCAACCCTCTCAAATGCTTTATATCCTTCTTGGGGTTTAGTCACATGGTACTCTCAAGTTTCATGCTAATTAACACTTTGTTGTATTTTTACTTAAGACACAAAACTAACATTATTTTACTGTAATTATCTTCTTAGAACATTCACAAGGTTCTACACCCTTCGTTAACAGTTATATTATTTAGATTGAAGTTGATTAGTATGCTTGTTCATTCGATGTCTGTGTAACATATATTCACAAGGTTCCACACAACTTTTATGAACTGTGAACAAGACCAACAAACTAGCTAGCTGAAATGTAACACTATACTTGGTGTTTCCAGTAGCCCTGCTACTCAAAAGTAATTCTTGCAGGTATAATCTCCTAAAAAGTAAAGCAAGCCAAGAACTTATTAATTACCTAGAGAAACGGTGGTACTAAATGTTGCATTTTCTTTTCAAATCGGGATCTTAATTAGAACTTCATCGACTATCTTTTCTCGTAAATAGATATATCAGATTTCTTGAAAGAATGAAGAGCACTTTTCATTGGGGGAACAAATTTGGGTAGGACAAGTTCAGCACTTTTCATTGCCACTAGCTATGATTACGATGCTCCGCTAGATGAATATGGTATGGAAAATAAAGCAAGCCATATAACTGTGTTTTCTCAAATTACACATTTGCACATCTGCACAACAAATGGAATGTTGATTTGTGTGAAGCGTATTTCAAGTGTAGCAAGTATTTTATTTTTCACTAACTTCTCTTTCTACTTCAACTAAATATTTACTTTAGAAACCGAGTGCTAGCTCAAACAATGTTTTCATGTTGTTCAGCACGATGATCTGACCTTCTTGTGCTATGGAATTTAGCAAATTAAGCGCATATATCCTCTAGTCAGTTAAGAAGAAAAGAAGTATTAAGCTTAAATCTACAGGGAATAAATCACAAGGGAAGCTTGCGTGCATGATCCTCTACTAGCAGTTCTCTACCCATGTCTAGATAATGTGTCTTAATTATATATATCTATAGCTGCCCCCACCTCCCTTGTCCGCACAACCAGAAGTAAAAATTAAAGAGTGGCGGAGAACAGTAAATCAAATATGGAACCCCATGTTCAATAGAAGGTACAAGCTGCACCAACTTTGATCAAAGTATATGACTATTAAGATACCAGGCTTCTTATGCCAAAAAATGAAAACTAGTTGTAAAAGCCTTTTTAAGCAAAGATCTATAAGAACTATTAACACAAATTTTCAAGAACACGGAACTTACTTACCAAATATTTTCACTTGCAGTTGGTTCCTCAAGCAATCCCAATAGTAATTTGCTTCCCGGACCTGAAAATAGAAGTACTGCTTATGTTTTCAACTGCAGGATTCAAGGAAAGGAAATCCCAAACCTATAACTTTGTGTATAAGATCATAAAGCAAGAAAATATGACAGAACTTGTGTACATATTAGGCTAGGTGAAATAGAGAATACTTGTAATATGTTCATTCATTTGCTAAGAGATGAATAACAGAAAGCAGAAGCATTCAGACCAAAGTTCTCAAGCAGAAGCAGAAAGCATAAGCATTACATCTAATGAGAATTGCTTCAAGAATGAAGACTCAAACGTGAACGCGAGGATTATTTCATTGGAAATAAGTTTCAAATGCTATTCATACAAGATAAGTGCTGAGAGATTGATTTCATGGAAAAAAGGCCCAATATTTTGTTCAACCACTTCTAAGAAAGTTGTCTTAATTAGCATCAAATTCATATTTCTCATAATCCTTGCAATGCTATAGCGAGTCGACCCAAATGAAAATTGGATCAAACTACTCCATAGTCACAGTTATAAAAGTATATTTCTTGATTCCCTAAATTAACTACTGGAATTGAGGAATTAACACAGAATATGGAATGTTGATATAGGGAAAAACCCTACCAATAAAAAACCAACCTCCATAAATGTAATGACTAGAGTAGGACAATTATACCAACTACTTAAACCCCAAATAAATTTAGTCCAAGAGGAGAATTTCAACCTAAGAAAAATCACACCCAAAAGACTTACTCGTTGAATTACCCAAACCTATTTGCACAAGCAGTCGATTCACCAGAAAAAAATCAAACTTTATGTATCAACAGACTAATATTCCTATTATTCATCACACTAATTGTAATCACAGAAACAGAAGTGA